AGGAGGATTGCTTGAGCTCAGCTTAGGTAACACAGTAAGACAACATCTCCAAAAAAAAACTGTCAGGATACATTCAGGTAATTACTGGCTTTGGTTTAGCTTACTAGGGGTAAGACTTCAATCTCCATTGGCCACTTCACCATTTCTAGCACGTTGGCCTTTTATCCTTCAGCTCATAGCCTCTTCATATCACAATAGTTGCAATAGCTCCAGACATCTCAATTGTGTTGGAAATCAGGAAGAAGAGAGCCATCTATGGGAGAGGAAAAATAGACAGGAGAGGATATATATATATATGGGAGAGAGTGACTTACTGTCTCAGATAATTTCACTTTTTTTAGGGAATAAAAACTTTTCCCAGGGCTCTCTGCTGATTTCTAATTAGCTAGAAATAGGTCATGTCTGGTGTATTAGCCACCTTTTATTGCAATAGCATATAGCTGAGGCTGGGCAAGATATAAATGAAAGAGGTTTCTTTAGTTCTCAGTTTTGGAGGCTGAGTGCTGACAACATGGCACTGGCTCTGGTGAGGCCCCAGAAGCATCACCTCCTGATGGATGGCATCATGGCGTCATAGTAGGGTTGTGTGTGAGAAGGAAGGCCCATGTGGCAGCACAGAATGTCAGAGAGCTTGGGAACAGAACAGTCTCCTTCTTTTGTAATAACCCTAACAGAAGAACCAACCAAAATCCTATGAGAACTACATTAATTCCTTCAGAAGACCATGCTACTAGGCCCCACCTCATAAAGGTCTTGCCACCTCTGATGTTACCACACCAGGGACAAAGCTTCCATCATATGAACCCCTCAGGGACAAAGCATAGCACTTGCCCTTTTTTGTCAAGGAGGAAAAGGAGGATGGCATTTGAGTAGGCAGGCACAGTGCCCTCCACTCCTGATCATGTGCAATATACCAAGTGCTCTACTCCTGCCTCCACCGAGGGAAGGTCAGCCTGTCTCAGAGAACTGGTGTTAATTACCCAGTAATTCAGGAGCATTTATAACATGTGAGGACATGGGTGCTGCTGCCATCTACCTTCATGCACGGTGGCGGCCATGAGCGATGTCCACTTCTTCCTGGGGCTGGCTTCAAGAGCCCAGTCTTCTACGAGGCTGCCTAAGTCCCAGGGGGAACACATGAGTGTAATCCTGGAGTTCTGACCCATTCCATATTTTTTGATTCCTTGCTCCCTACTGAGGATTCTCTTTTCCCTTCCAGTCATACACCTCTCATGAGAAAATAAGAGCAGCGTACATCAAAGGTGGCAGTTACATGTTTGGCTTTCCTGGATACCAGAAAAGGGAGAGCACAAAGAGTCTGGCATGTTCAGAAAGGTCCCCAAGGATGAGCTGGTGGGGCTTTGCAGAATGGCAAGAATGTACACAAGTGAAGGGATGAAGGAGCAGGGAATTCCTGTCTAAAAAGAGCCTGAGAAAAGGCTCCTGGTTGGAAGGAGCAAGATACACAAGGGCCAGTTGTTCTGATCTGTGCAGAACTGCCACGTTGCCCTCCCCCAGGCCCAAATGCGATTGTGCTGACTAGCAAGAAGCACAGGCCATATAGAGGTGACTTCCCTAAACTGGCTTTCAGTTTAATTAGTGAGTCCGGCCGAGGCTGTGTATGAGTCTTCATGATATCAAGTGGGTGATGTCAGGTTAGCATTGCTTTTTGTCAGCAGCCACAGTTGAGCCCAGAGAGAGACTGTGGGGATAAGGTATGAGATAACATTTCCGCTGAGGCCAGTGTGACTCCAGAGAAAATTCCTTCCCAGAATTGCTTACAAAGCAGATTACTAGTTAACTACAACCTGAATCTGGCTGTTCCATCCTTTTTTCAAGGATGCTTTGCTCCCTCTGTTACAGGCCTTGCCTGCCCAGCCACTTGTCTAGCGCATCCGGTCACAGTCCCCTCACATTTTTATCAATGTGAACGTGATCGTTAAATACTGAGGTTCTGGCTGCCTCGTGGCCTTTTGTTCCCTGTGAACAACAGGCCATCCAGATTCCCGTTGCATCACCATTTTGTCTCTTGCTCTTTCTCTTTGCCATGAACCATAACACCTTCCAGGACATTGGGGATTCACTGCAGGGGTCCCTAATAACTGGCATCCAATGTGGGGTTTGAACCCTGGACCCTCTTTTTTTCCTCAGAACTTGGAAAAAAAATGCCCAAAGTTGAGAACATGCCAAACATTACCATTCATAATGCTACAGCCAATCCAAATGCGACCTACATCCGTTGGAAAGTGCATGGAGACTGGATAACTCGGGTAAAAATACATCTCTCTCTAGGTATGCCACATAAAAAATCAACTAAAAATAGCATGCATGGGTATTCTTCAATAAGTTGCCACTTGTTCTGTGACAACTTCTTAAACTTAACTGAAAACAAACAAAAGTTAATACTACATGAAATACACAGGATGGTACAAAGAATGATAAACAGCTAGTTTCTAGACGTTAATGAAATCAATCAATTTGAGCTTCCTGGTGGGATTGGTTTGGGGGCCTTTTGGTCTAAAGATAGTAGGTGAGTACTTCTTCCTCTTATAGGAGTAAGAGTCAACTCAGTAAGCAGAGTGCTTTAGGACTGATAACGGGATTATATATATGAGATTGAGTCCCTGAGAATGGTACTGGCTCTGAAAAGCTGAAGCAGTGATTCTCAAGTGTATAAAAAAACAAGACATTGTTCTTTATATTAAGAGAGCCCAGCAACCATAAGCAGAGTAGACATGGCAGTCTAAGGGGCAGGAGGGGGAGAAGGAGTCCTAGGGACCGATATGACAAGTATATCCGATAAAGCGGCACAAAACACCAAGGATCCATCCCTGTTTCTGAAGACATCAGGCTTACAAACATAGAGAAGTTTCTAAATTAATAAGATTTATGCAAGAAAATAATGGTAATAAATATTATGTAGAAAAAGAAAAAATAGGAAAACCATCAAACTCATTTGATATGTGAAAATGAAAATTAAAGGTAAAGAAAAATTGGACCATGAGAATAGCATTTGTCTAAAATATAGAGACCAACAACACTTCAAACACAAAAAGAAAAAACAAAATATCACCCCCTTAGAACAGAAATGAGAATCAGGAAAACTAGACAAAAAAGGAAAACAATAATCTGACTAAACAAGAGCATGTAACATTATGATGTGCTTCTTAGGGGTTGTTAAAATGAGGTTCCTGTTAAACTTGGAAGTTTATTGAGTTGTAGAATTATCACTATGATCCAATTTGGAACATTTCTATCATCTCATAAGATCCCTCCAACCCATTTCTACCTCTTCATCTTAATTAGGTACAATATACATATTATAAATCCATCTATTTTACATGTATAGTTTTTTGGCAGGAAGTTTATTGAGCTGTAGAATCGTCACTATGATCCAATTTGGAACATTTCTGTCATCTCATCCCTCCAACCCATTTCTACCCCAGCTCCTGGCAATCATTAATCTACTTCCTCTCCCTGTGTTACTCTCCCACTTCAGGGGACAGTACAATACATGGCTTTTATATGTGGCTTTTTCCATTGCACATAAAGGAGCCGTTCTTCTTGTTAAGTGTGGAGACTGTGTCCCCCAGATCCCCAACTCCGCACCTGGACATCCCACTTGCTCTGTTTGGCCCAGTTCAGTCCTGTGACCCAGAAGGTAGAAGGAACAATTCCAAGATGCTGGACTGGTGCCACCAGAGGGCAGCCTATGTGGCAGGTTTCGGTAGGGGAGAAGGGTCTGCACTGTAGGAACAACACAGAGCCCGGATAGTGTTGACATCAGCAGTATAGATACGGAACCTGATGAAAAGGAGTGTGTGGTGGGAGAGTTCTCCAGCTCTAGCTGTCTTGTTCTGCCCCATGCCTCAGGAGGTGTGTTCATGATCTTGGTTTCTAAGGAGACTGCCACTGAGACACTTGGGGAAACCTTCAACAGAGGAAAGGTGCAGGGCAATTCCGGGGGTCTGCAATGTTCTGCTCTGTGGATGGCACTCCCACAACTCAGTCCTGTTGTCCTGAATCCTAAACTCCAGACCCCCTTTTTTCCTTCCAAACATACCTGCCCGCTTTTGTTCACTTTGGGTCTCTGGTTTTCTACTCCATGAGGAGTAGAACCAAAGGTCATCTTCCTTGTAGTCTTCTGAGCTTAGCATTGTGCCTGCAATGACTAGGTGATGAGCAAATGTATTATTCTTGCAGCTCAACTGGCGTTCTGCCAATACTATTATAGCTTATCTAGTTTACTACGTATACTCTTAACAAAGACTTCCACTGGAAAAGAAGGTGGCCTGGAGGGAAAACTCAAATCCCACCAAATCTGGTTCTTCACCCTTGGCATGGCCCTAGCTGTCCATCATGGTCCTGTTGCAAAACGCTAACTCACCAGTCCTTATATACTTTGACAGCCCAGTTCTTGACTTCCAAAGTGGGAAAGTCGATGCCTCCCAGTAGGATACTCAACATTACTTCTACTGTAAAGATGATTTCCAAGGGTTAGGGATTTAGCTCAGCTGCACAGCGCCTGCCTGGCAAGTGCAACATCATGAATTTGATTCCCGGTACCAGAGAAAAACCAAAAAAAAAAAACAAAAAAACAAGATGATTTCCATTTGTCCACTTATAATGTGGACAAATTATTCTCTGTGTAAAACCCCCTGCCTCATGTGGGCAGCATTCCCATTTTCTCAGAACAACTAAACTAGGCAGTAGAAACAGCAGCAGTCTGGCAGACAGGGTGCCCAGGATTGTATGTTCTGGTGTTACCCTTGAGCAGGGAAAGGGAAAGGGACAAGGATGGGCTCCACACTGTGCCAGTCCACCTACACACATCTGTCCCACAAATGGGTGCTTTTGAAAAATGTTCCTGTCCTCAAACAAGTTCTTTTCTCCTTCTAACATGTTTGGAAAGACTGCTTTAAACTTTGTTGCAAACTCTCACTTAACCTGGTGGGTGATCATCATATTAATTAGTGTTTTCTCACTTTTTTTATTTCTAGCTGAACTACTATGATTCTATGAAAGCCATCATTTCCAGCTCCAACCATGAGCCCACGGCTCTAGTAATAGGTACTCCTCCCACTCCTGTCACATTTGTGCTGTTCCTTTTCTGGGTGTTGGGTCCTTGGAGGTTCACTCTTTATTGTTTCTACATTGTAATGGGCACCCCATACTCTGCTAATGACTTATAATGTGGCTCCAAAATGGGACATTCTCCATTGCTTAATGTATCCTTAGTTTCCTAAGCCTCAAACAAGGCTTAGGAGAGGGAGGGTGGGAGGGAGGAAGAGAGAGAGGAAAAGAGAAAGAGAGATGAAGAGTGGTAGAAAAAGAAAGGAGAGAGGGAGGGAGGAAGAGAGGGAAGGAGGGAAGGAGGATGCCACCATCTGAGTACCTTTAATGTGTTATATGATATTAAATATATAGGGATATCGATGTGGAACTGTCCGTATGGGACATTTATATAAAGTGGACTTTGGGAATTTATAAGAATTTAAAAAGCATGAAGATTTGTCACCGGGAGAAACATGAAATTTCTGGAAGCTACTCTAAAACCAAGTGAATGTCCAGAAAGGCCAAGGGAGAGCCTAGCTCCCTCAGTCTCAGGGATGATACCAATGTCTTAGCCCATTTTCTGTTGCTATAACAGAATACCCTAAAATTATAAAGAAAAGTTTATGTGGCTCATGATACTGGAGCCTGGAAGTCCAGAAGCACAGCAACTGCATCTGGAGAGAGGTTTCATGCTACATTATCTCATAGTGGAGAAGTGGAAGGCCAAGGGAGAGTGTGTGGGAAAACTCACTTTTAAAACAAAGTCACTCCCAGGAGAACTAATCCATTCTCAAAAATTGACCTTAATCCATTATTGAGGGTGAAGCATTCACAACCTAAACGTCTCCCATTAGGCCCCACCTCCCCACATAGCTGACCTGGGAATTAAGATACTAACACATGAACTTCTATGAGACACACTCAAAGAACAGCCCCAGTGAACAGCTAATACTGGGCATGGATTTGACCAAGATGATCTTGAGTCAGTGCTACTTATGGGGGGATCATTTTGACTGAGGATATACATTTCAGAATTGAGTGAGTTTTGAGGGAGCAAACTGGTCCAAATTTAAACCAGGAATCCAGTCTCCTTTATAATAGAGCATTTCCTAAGTACCAGCTAATGGTCTGAAATTGATGCAGCCCTTTGCCTGGCTTTGGAGGTTCCTAACTGGAACATTTCCCTAAGGTGTATAGGTTCTGTCCTATGTGCCGTACATTCTACCTTATTTGATCACCATAACAATCTCACGGCTTACATCCAGTACCCACGTCATCTCAGGGATGAGTCAGCTAAACCACAAAAGTAATTAGTACATTGCTCAAAGTTTTTGCATTGTTCTGACAGAAATCCAATTCTGAGTTAAGCAAACAGAAGAATTTCGGGAATTGCTCATGGGACAGATGAAGGGCAGGAAAATAAAATATCTCCACACTGGGAAATCCAGGGGGGAAAGATTCAAATTCTGCTCAGTGTCTGAGTCTCTTACCCGATTCCCTCTGCACACAAGTTTCCTCGAAGAGTAGTGAGCCCATTCTTTACACAGCTTTGCCACAAACAAGGGGTGGATGACACTATTGCAACCACCCTGGGAAGGGTCTCACTGAAACAATACGGCCATATGTGTGACAATCATGTCCCTCCTTTTTCACTCCGTTGCACCCGAAATCCATTCCTAAACTTTTAAGAACCTGTTTGGAGTATACCACACAGTGTCTTGTTATGCATAAAATACTTAACACACTTTTAAACCACTCAGAA